CCCCCCCCACACACACACACACACCCCAAAAAATAAATAAATAAAAGCAAATTGTTGAATTTCCGTCATGAGCGAATGAACATTTTGATATTTGTGTGCAGCATAATATACGATTCCTTCAAGAAATTCTTCAGAATAGGAAGTCAGATTTCCTCGAGTGGCTCATTATTATATTGATAGGTGCAGAGATCCTCATTTCGGTTTATGACATTGCCCACAAGTCGTCTATCGCGCTGTAGGGTTAGCTTCTGAAGTGTTGGAAATTTGAAACATCCCATTGCACTCTAATTATGGCCTGGAGTGCTGTACATATGAAATCCTCAAATAACATATCTATATGGTATACGGCACTTGGTCTATGTTAATTGTAAATGCATGTTCACTTTATTACAGTAGGAAGGTACATAATTTAAGCTTAATGCCCCAAAGTAGGGTGAATTTTATTTAGCGGAAATTGCATTTTTTTGTGCCTTTCTCCTGTAAGTTCTGATGTTCTTTCATTTTATTTTTGTTTGACTTCCCCCTCTTGGTTTCTTTTAGAGAATCTGACATTTTCCAAGTGAAGTCAATGAAATGCTAGTGTTTTTTTTTGTTTTGTGTTGTAAATAATCAGTGCAAACTATATACGGATGCACCCTTTTATGATTTTCTTTTATAGAAATGTTCAATTTTCCTTGCAAGAGGCTTCTTAGAGAAGAAAAAGTTTAGGAAGCATCATAACTCTTTAAGAGTAGCAGTATCGCCATCTTAAAAAGGTGAAATTAATCTGTATTTACTTTCTGGATAAATTAAAGCAATTCTTTTACCTTTTATAAAAACTGCAAGCGACCTTATAAACTGATGCTTCGTTATTGAACGAGCAAGATTGTACAACGATACTTGTGATGTTTCTTTAGTTTTGTGCATAATTACTTGATTGTTTGGCCAACTATTTATGATATATTTGGGAAAGCTGTTCTTAGATTAGAGAAGAATTAAAGAGAGCGTCGTTTTATCCTTAGGGTTGGGGGCGAATTTCTGGTTAGGATAGGAATATACCTAATCATCGTACTCAATTTAATACCGTGATCGTAAAGCATTTTTGGTAGATTAATTTTATAGAAATATATGTGTTAATTTATCTTGGATAGGCGAATAGTAGTTCGTGAGTAACTGTCTCGGCATCTGCAAGTGGGTGAACGACAAACAGATAATCGATAATTTCATGTGGCATAAGTTGGAATCTGAACACGACATGACAAATTCATATATGGACATATTACTGTATTATTTGAAAAACTCGACATAACTAAAAATTACACGGAGTTACAGAGTCTATCCCATTTTATCCACAGAGCTAAATGTGAGTATATCTTTGCATTAGTTAGTGAGAGAAAATTTTCTTCTGTCATTCTACAGATGCTGCCCCTATTATGAATATGTGGTTTTTTTTCGAAAAACAAATGCAAAAATTTCAGTGAGAAAATGCAATAATATTGAAACACGCATGTGCTTCCAACAACTGGATATTAGGAGTCAAAATACTCATTTGTTATATCATTTTCATCTGCATAGAAGAAGAGTCATAATGCATCAACAAAGATATTGATTGCATCCATCCTTAATTATCGACTGCAAATTTAATATATCCTCAAAACTAAAAGCATGTTATAGGGTTTTCTGAAGTATGCAATGCGACAAGCTTTTTGTGTAAAATTTGTTAGATATATCTAGTTAAAATTTACGTGTAAATTAATCCAGATTCTTTACAGGCAAACCTAAACAAAAAATTTGCATATTTGACATCCTACTAGCAGGTTAGGAGTGCATTATCATTTTGTTCTTACCGAGTAATTCTATTTCTATATCAAAATGCTTTTGCTATATTCCTTAATCGTATCAGGCAGGGGTATGGCTGTCTAACGGGACGGGATGAGACAGAATTAACGGGACGGGACGACATTTAGCCGGGACGGTGGCGGGACGGGACGGAACGAAAAGGGACGGGACAAACGGTAGGCCCATCCCGTCCCGCTAACAAACGGGACGAGACGGGACGGNGGGATGGGACGGGACGGGACAGAATTAACGGAACGGGACGGGACGATATTTAGCCGGGACGGTGGCGGGACGAGACGAAACGGGACTGGACAAACGGGACGAAACGGTAGGCCCATCCCGTCCCTCTAACAAACGAGACAAGACGGGATGGGACGGGTTCGCGGGCCTTAAGTGCCATTTCAAAAAAATAATTATTTAAGCATTGAGTTTGGAAACCGCTATTCTTTTGACAATGACTAAGTTTTTAAAGTTTGCAACAACTAGCTTTTTGAGTTATTTAATAAACTTAAAAATTAAACGAAAATTAGGAAACTAAGTAAAGAATTATAAATTATTAAAGCAAAAGACTTGTAATGAAATATTCTAGTAATTATAAATTTATAATAGAGTTATAATTTATTTAATATAATTTCAAGCCATTAACTAATTAAGTAAGAGTGTAAGACAATTCATAAAAATAATTCAACGCTTAAATCCTTTTATTTTATTAATAGAACTTTCAAATCTTACATACAAATATATTTCTTTTGAAGAGCACCTAATCTACGCAGCCACCTTCTAGGAAAGGTTCTGTTTAAATTAGGCCTCTTAGTAGCCAATTACAAATTATCATACAAATATTTGTAAGCTCCTATATAATTTCGTTGTAACTTATCTATAATTTCTCTCGGACATTGTTCTGGAATTGGTAATGTTGATTGATGTTCCATGAGTTCCATGCCGTCATAGCTCCCGGTGCTAAGTATCTCATTGTATTCTTCTTCTTCTTCCCTAGTTTCACCACTTGTTGTTTCCATAGATTTATATTTATCAAACATTGATCTAACATAAAAATATATGTTAGCTTGGCAGTCTTCGAGAGATGGTTGTTCATTTTCTTGAATTGCTAAATTCTCATAAATTTTACGAACAAGTCCATTTGCACCTCTTAATTTTAAAGATGGGTTAAGTATAGTAGAAATTAAATAAACTTGGGGAATAGGGAAAAAATACTTTTTAAATTTTGCAATCATTTCATTAATGGC